GCTGATTTAGATAAATCTGTCATGGTTGGGGCAGGTTCATCATTACTAGCTCCTTTAGCAGGAACATCTTCATTTCCATTTACAGATTTCTCTTTGGGTGCAGCCGAGGTCTTCCCTCCTCCCTTTTTAGACTTTTTCCCCATTGTATATACAAGGAATGCCACTTATAAATCCTGAAATTATTTCAAATTATATGATTTGATAGAATGCAAAAATAAGCTTACATCAATAACACACCCCTTCGTCTAATGTTAGTCTCATGAATATGAATATGGGCATGATCTACACGGTAATGCCACTTGCCTTAATCACCTATGGTTAAAGATCATTAAGTGGTAACATGATGATAATTTACTGATCATGTTTTGGCCTTCAATGCAATAATAAGCATTCATATTTAGGATAAGTTATAAACACACTGTCAGCCTAAGACTTGATGCATTACCAATATTTATTTTCTAAATTTGTTTGTTTCTGGAAAATTAATCAAGCAAACTTCCATAAAAGGACATTGTTCCACCCTGTGACTGATCTCCCATTACTTATTCTAATCTTGCAACATGTACCAGTTCTGCATGTGGAAAGTTTGCTTTGAGTTTGAAATGCAGACATCCTAGACCTAATATAATATACACGTCATATTATTCTTTATACAGAGCCATCGGTTACAAATATCAAGAACATCAAGTTGGAGCTATTTCATATTCAAATACCAACCTTTCTGGCTTAATAATGGCCCTTCAGATCTTCAGGAACTTTTCAGAACACTTGGAACTTTATTTGCGCCCTGTTCATGGTTGACGTAAAATATTTTTTTAGAAATATTATTTCTTATATTTCTTAATTGTTTGTCATGAAAATAGGGCCTACTTAACAAAGAGTCCAAATTCTATACCTTTTTCGTTTTTGAAATTTTATTAGGATTAAGCCAGTGTTTAATATTGATAATCACGACATCAGTATAATACAAGAACTACCTACGTCAGACAGGGGAGATAATGAGTAATATGATTTCCAACATGGCAAGGAAATAGAAAAATAAAAGATAAATCTTTAGTTATAGATAAATAGAGTATCTGTACCAATGTAAGTACACAGACGCTTATTTTCCAACTAAAATTAGCACTGCTTATCTTGTCTGAGTATGAGAAGTTGAGATTTTGATATTTTTAATGGGTTTTACTACAATTCCTTTTGTTATTCCAGACCACATTTAAGCTAATGCTTAGTGCCGACTTTTATTATTTCTAATCAAAGCTTTTTTTTATATTTTCAGAATTGGTGGTCTAGTAGCATAAGCCTACCAGACCAAAAGAATGCCTTGCTGGTATTTTGAGAAAAAAGATATAAAGAATTCACCCTCATTTCGTGATGGAGTGGATACATTAACAGAAGCTAGATACAGAAGAGAAGGTGCAAGATTTATCATTGATGCTGGGACCAAATTAGGACTGTATCCTTTGAATTAGTTGTCACTTTTAATATACAACTTAACTGTTGGTTTAGCCTGATGTTAAATATCCTGATACCTTTTAGGTGACACTTTGATAGAATATTTTACTATAAATATAAATGTAAAAATTTGACATCATAATGAGTAAAGATAGGCATAAGGCAATATTCTCATTTGAGAATTAAACAACCAAAGATATTTTTTTCTTTATTATGTAATTTTAAAAAATCTTGATGACATAATATATTCTTTAACTCCCGCCTAGTCGATATGATTCCTGTGCCACAGGTGTGGTCTATTTCCACAGATTTTATATGTTTCATTCCTTTAAAGAATTTCACAGATATGTAAGTAACTTCTAAGATTACTATTCTAGTTAATTCTTCAAAATTGGTCTAGTTTGTATTTAATGACATAATATAATATTTATAATAGAACAAAAATTGTGTATACGTATACAGTCTCGCCAGACTTTGACTGGTAACCAATTATCTGGAAAACCAGATGTTTGCACGCCTTTATATTTGGAATGGAATGTTTACATAAATGACCAAATCATAATGAGAGGCTTTTGTAACTAATATGCTGAATTTTTTTTTTAATCAAGGTAACTGCAGCTTGCTGTTTATTTCTGGCTGGTAAAGTGGAAGAAACACCTAAGAAATGTCGAGATATAATCAAAATATGTCAATCATTATTAAGCCCCTCTCTGTTTGCCGTCTTTGGTGAAGATCCAAGGGTAAGTGATTATAAATTTGTTCCAACCGAATCATAATTTGTGCCTTTTTATTTCGCTGTCACAAAGGGTGATTAATGTTCAAGTTAATTGTCAGAAGTAGGCTGGCACAGCTGGGATTATGAAGAGCTAATCAGGTTGTCATCTGAAAGGGAAGAAAAATTCTGATTTCAATGCTCTGTGTTGGCTCCCCTTCCTCTTTTTTTACCAATGATATTTTATTTTGCTACCTGGCTATTTCATTTTGTAGGAAGAAGTAATGACAATGGAGAGAATTTTATTACAAACTATCAAATTTGATCTTCAAATTGAACATCCATATTCTAAAGTTTTAAAATATGCCAAGTTTGTACAAGGTAGGTGAATTTTTTTATATCAAGTGATGAAACTACATGCAAATTATTTCTGTTTGTTCTTTCCTTTACGAGCTGTCAAAGGGGAGTATGCACCAATTGTTCTAAAACCCTGTCGTCCTTTAGTACACAGAGTTTGCAATTTTTTAACATCAGACTCGGTTTTCGAGATAATTTCAATATATTGTATGTTACAGGAGACAAAGAAAAGATTCAGAAGATGGTTCAAATGGCTTGGACATTTATAAATGATAGGTATATTGACTTTATTTACTTCTAATATTCCACTGAAGTGAAATTTAGTCCCTTTTCTACTAATACTTATTACATGGTTAAATGTGTTTATGTAAGAGATCACTTGAATAATTTTTTTAAAACCTTCTTGTTCATTCATTCTGTACAGGTATCTCATTCATTTTGTTATTTTCTATTTCAGCATGTGTACAACCTTATCATTACAATGGGAACCAGATATCATTGCCACATCCCTGTTATATCTGGCGTCACGATTGACAAAGTTTGAAATCACAGACTGGCAGGGCAAAATTCCTGGCACCAAAATAAAATGGTGGGATGCAATCGTTGAAGATATTTCCATGGAATTAATGGAGGATATTTGTCATCAGGTCTTAGATTTGTATTCACCAGAAAATCGCAAGAAAGATGAATCTCCATCTTTAAGTCCTCAGACGCCTAGCAACAAACCACCTGGAGGTCAACCGAATGCTGGAGGAACACCTAGTAAAAATAGACGAGCTGTAAGACAATTGAACAATTTCAGTGAATTTACATTACATTTGTATAAAACAACAGAATTTCTAAAGGGCACAAATACTAAGGCTCCTCATGGGCTACCAACATTTTCATCCATTCTGTTACAAATTGATTTTGAATTCCAAATCTAGATTTTTAGTTGCATGTGTTTACTTTCTGATTTCTATGTTTAACAGACTGAGGAGTTGTTATCATAAAAAGAATTCTCTGGACAACAATAAGAGTGAATATTTACTCTTGTGTTAGTCTAAAAAGTAATTTGTAATTCCTTGCAAGTTTATTACAGTTATGTACGTAGCAATATATGGATATGTATGTCTATATTTTTAGAATTCTCCAGCAGAAGGAGCTCCAGCTCAGAAGCAGCAAAGAATTGAAACAAAGGGAAGTAACCCTGCTGCTCCACCTGCTAGTCAACCTCAACAAATTCCAGTAGCAGTTCAAGCTGTTCCATCAACTGGCTATACATCTTATAATCCTTACGTCAACACATCCATGTATTCATCATCTTTCATGTCTCAAGAAGGAAATCAAAAGATCCAAGCCTTATTTGGACAATCAGCACCTGCACCCCAGCCAGCTTATCCACAACAGTATAGTGCTCCTCGTCCACCTCCTGCTGGAACAGCTGCCTCTTATGCCCCTTCAGCTTATGCAGCTGCAGCAGCATCTTATACAGCAGGATATCAAGCTCAGCCCTACACAGCACCACCACCACCAGCATACAACCAAGCAGCACAATATCCTGGACAGCAGGCATATCAACAGCAACAAGCCTACCCTCAGGCTACTCAATCTTATTCACAGCCTCCCCCTGGGTACCAGGCCCAGTATCAATATCCTCCTCAATATCAGGCCCCTCCCCCTCAAGCGGGATACCCACCCAGTCAGCCTGCTGGTCAGCCTGCCCCTGCTGCCTATCCCCAGGGATACCAAGTGCCGCCTAGTTCTCATTCCACACTGCCTCCTACTGCAGCTGCCCAGGCAGATAAAAGTCAATCTGGACTGGCTACTGTAAGAATAACCCAGAGACGATAATCTGACAAAATACTGTTTGAAATCATGTTTTTAATTTATGTTTTAGAGCTCCAATTGGACAATACTTGCTAATATGGCCAAATCAACAGTTTTGGTTTGCAAATGAAGTGTGAAAATAATATAAATCCTAATTGCCTTTATGTCATCATGTGAAAATAAAATACCTTGAAATTAAAAAACAAAATTCATTTTATGTGCAGGGAGACTTAGTTTTGTCACAAGAACTGCTTTTTTTTAATGTCCTATTTATTTTATTATATGTTTTGCAAATATTATCAAATTATAGCTTAATTTACATGAGTGAAAATCAAATTTAAAGGAATACCACCTCTCAGAATGTACTTAAATTCACATTCTCAAACTTTGCCAAATTGAGTTTTTCATCAGTGGACCTGTTGAATTACTAAACAACAAAATCTTTCTATAATCTCAATACCAAATATCCATAGAACTAAGTATCAATTGAAAAACACTAATACAAATTATAACTGTTTTTCATTAATTTCTTAGTTTAAGGATTTGGCAGATTATAGACAGATTCTTTTGTATAGTTATTCAACAGGTCCACTGGTAGCTACATACAGCTGAATTAAGTTTGGTTTTCTGTATCCATTGTAATAATCAGTGGATCTAATTTTGTGCGTTTCATCACTTTCTGAAGAATGTATATATTTAACACTTATTTTCTTCTTATTGACCTAGTCTCAGAATTTTAATCTATGTTTCTCGAAGAGTTAGTATTCCTTTAAGCTGGTTCCTTTCAAATATCTTCAGTGAAATATGATTTCAACTTCTCTGCATGATTGGAGAAGTCAAGAAGACTTCATTCACTTCAGCCAAAAATATCCAAAAAAAATGACTGAAAAATATCTTCTGTAAAATCAATGAAATTTCTGTTTCCAATTTTGTGGGACACATATTATTGATAGTTATGCATTACCATAATTTCCACTAAATTTATGTATCTTGAATGTGGAGGCTTATCTTGTAAATTTATCTCGACGTGCCGAATCGATGTAAAACGATGTACTTCGAATGAACAACCCGGATCCAAATACTGCGATCACGTGACAAATTGTTATTGAAAATGGCGACTGTCTTTTAGTTATAAAAAGCCACGCTGGAGATAATTATTAATTCATCAATGTCAGCAGTTATAAAACAAAATGAAAATTGTTCGGACGTTTTTAGTGTCCCATATTTTTACCTTTCTAACCATTATTCACGCCTTACGGTTGCAGGGAACGATGGAGACGAGAGATTATTTCCGATTTCTTTCAAAGTTCGGATTTCAGAAAACCGATCAAAATAATGGCGATCAAACACAAGGATATGTTTACGGAAATATTACATCGCGTTCAAATAAAAGTTCTAGTATGATTTTAGTTGTAGTTGATAGTGAATATTTTAAAGAATTTTATGGAAATCAAACTCATTCTAAAAATTCCTGCCAAAAGTCATTGAACAAAATAAACACCATTGCATTTGATGCTGTGTGTTTTCCTAATGGACCAGAAGATTTTCTAAGGCGAGTTCCGTGTCCTAGAGGTATGGTATGTGCTGATGAGGATACCCCAGAGAATGTGATCAAAGGATATCAGTTTACTTATAGAATTCGAGATTATCAGAGACCAAGGTGAGTAGAACGGCTGTCAATATTATCAATTACATCAATAAGCAAACCCCCATAGCAATCAATTAGAAAATTACAATATGAATTAAAATACTTAATGATTTATTTGAGATTATCTCTGAGTTGATTAACATACTTTTAGAATCGTTTACTACTTACAGAGACTAAAGGAATGTTCAATTTTTAAAAAAATAATCTTGAGTACGGTACCGTATCAAAGATGTTCTTTAAACATGTCAGTAAATGAAAAGAAACCATTGACATGGTATAATGATTGATTAGTAGGATTTGATTGAAAAAGTTTCTGTTATAAATGCCAAGCATCTTTGTCAAATGTTATTGATAAAACACTGTACTGGTATTGGGATCATAATATTTACAGATTTGCAATTTGCCCATAGTTTTGAAATATCAGTTCAAAAATACTACTGATACTGTTAGAATGTAATGTTAGAAATTCCAACTAATGAACAAATTGTCATTTGGCAATGTTATTACAGAAAAACCTATCCCCTTAATGGGTTACTTGAATTTATCAGGATTCAAAAGAGTGCGTTGAACATTTACAGTGGGTTATGATTAGCTTTTTAAGCTTATTTTAAAAGATGACCACTTTTATGGATTCTGTATTGTATCATTAAGGCTTCTTTCGATAATGGGATTCATTGTTTGAACAATATTAGATTATTACCTCCATTTAGTGAATTTATACAGCCATAAGTATCAACACTGAAGTTGAGTTTTTAAAAACAATATCACAATATTATTGAGAATCTCTTTTATACTTTTAAAAATATTATCAAAATATATAAATATGAATGGCTCCTCTATTGTTTCACAAAATGTAAAAAAAAAGATTTTTTCTCAGGGAAAAATTACTGGATCCTGAAACTAAGTGTAGGTTGTAGTGAATGTGAAACAAAATCTTATACTCTTATACCTTCCTGGTCTGTTTATACTAATAACTCTACCCCTACCATATTTTGCTAGTTCTTTACAACATATCAAGTATTTAAGGGTGGCCATGTTTCCAGTGACTATGTTTTCCAGTGGTCATGTATTCCAGTGCTATGAGCAGATTGAAAGCATAAATCACAGTCAGAATTGTCCCCCACAATGGCTCAATGGTCAAGAATATCAGTACGGTATTATTACTAATAAAAAATTTCTATGTGTTTAACAATAAAGTATAGTTATATGAAATATCTCTGTATATTCACCATCTGTTGATAATTGGAAAAAGAATTATGATTTAAAAATTAAATAATATAGAGATATTGATGTATTAAATGTTTTTATAAACACCGTTCAATGACAATTGACTTTTTCCTCTTATGTTTATTAGAAATATCGCTCTACAATTGATTATTGAGCACTATTTTACTTGGTAAATAATTTCTTATTGTACAGATTGGAAATTTCTATATCGCTCTACAAGTCATTTATTGGGCAATGTGTTGATAGTGATATTTATATATCACTCTACAATTGATGTATTGAGCACTATTTTAACAGTAGTATTTCTATATTACTCTACAATTGATGTATTGAGCACTATTTTAATAGTGGTATTTCTATGTCACTCTACAATTGATGTATTGAGCACTATTTTAACAGTAGTATTTCTATATCGCTCTACAATTGATGTATTGAGTACTATTTTAATAGTGGTATTTCTATGTCACTCTACAATTGATGAATTGAGCACTATTTTAACAGTAGTATTTCTATATCGCTCTACAATTGATGTATTGAGCACTATTTTAACAGTAGTATTTCTATATCACTCTACAATTGATGTATTGAGCACTATTTTAATAGTGGTATTTCTATGTCACTCTACAATTGATGTATTGAGCACTATTTGAACAGTGAAAGTATTTTATTATGTTCATTAGAAATTTATATATCTCACTACAATTGATATATTTGAAAACTTGTATATTGAAAAGTAGAAATTATATGAGTTTCCATAAAAGGAATATTATTTGAGACCAATGAAATGCTAACTTGACCCCTCCAGAGCTGTATTTGTGATAATTAGCTTAAAGTTGAGTATTACATAAACAATATGTCAAGTTTAGTTGAAGTAAATTAGATTGAAACACTATGTACTACATAATGTACTGATATGACAAAGAAATAACAATGATTTTTAACCCTAGGCCTACACATCAATCAATATAAAATAAAACTCAGTGTACACACAAGTAAACTATATTTAGTGTGAAAAAACTATTCTTGCAATGAACTAGCTTTGTAGAGTTTTAACACTTTTTAAACTAAATTTTATAAATTTTGTATATCATTTATAAAGTGATTGTATTGAATTGAATAAGGCCCCCCCCC